CTGTATAGCCATCAGAGTATGCTGTATAGCCATCAGTGTATGCTGTATAGCCATCAGAGTGTGCTGTATAGCCATCAGAGTGTGCTGTATAGCCATCAGAGTTTGCTGTATAGCCATCAAGAGTGTGCTGCATAGCCAACAGAGTATGCTATATAGCCATCAGGGTATGCTATATAGCCATCAGAGTGTGCTGTATAGCCATCAAGAGTGTGCTGTATAGCCATCAAGAGTATGCTGTGAAGCCATCAGAGTATGCTGTGAAGCCATCAGAGTATGCTATATAGCCATCAGAGTATGCTGTATAGCCATCAGGGTACGCTGTATAGCCATCAGTGTATGCTGTATAGCCGTCAGAGTATGCTATATAGCCATCAGAGTATGCTATATAGCCATCAGAGTATGCTGTATAGCCATCAGGGTACGCTGTATAGCCATCAGTGTATGCTGTATAGCCGTCAGAGTATGCTATATAGCCATCAGAGTATGCTGTATAGCCATCAGTGTATGCTGTATAGCCATCAGAGTACGCTATATAGCCATCAGAGTATGCTATAGCCATCAGAGTATGCTGTATAGCCATCAGAGTATGATGTATAGCCATCAGAGTGTGCTGTATAGCCATCAGAGTATGCTGTGAAACCATCAGAGTATGCTATATAGCCATCAGAGTATGCTGTATAGCCATCAGAGTATGCTGTATAGCCATCAGAGTGTGTTGTATAGCCATCAGAGTATGCTGTATAGCCATCAGTGTATGCTATATAGCCATCAGAGTATGCTATATAGCCATCAGAGTGTGTTGTATAGCCATCAGAGTATGCTATATAGCCATCAGAGTATGCTATATAGCCATCAGAGTATGCTATATAGCCATCAGAGTATGCTATATAGCCATCAGAGTGTGTTGTATAGCCATCAGAGTATGCTATATAGCCATCAGAGTATGCTATATAGCCATCAGAGTATGCTATATAGCCATCAGGGTATGCTGTATAGCCATCAGGGTATGCTGTATAGCCATCAGAGTATGCTGTATAGCCATCAGAGTGTGTTGTATAGCCATCAGAGTATGCTGTATAGCCATCAGAGTGTGCTGTATAGCCATCAGAGTATGCTGTATAGCCATCAGAGTATTCTGTATAGCCATCAGAGTGTGCTGTATAGCCATCAGAGTATGCTGTATAGCCATCAGAGTACGCTGTATAGCCATCAGTGTATGCTGTACACAACAGACCCTTGAGAATACCATTACAACTGATTTCATGGATGTTTCTATATCATTATTTACATAAAAGTCAACTTTTACTCTACCTTTCACAGAAGCATGTTATTTTGTACCACATTTGAATTTCAATCCAATGTGGAAATTATATCCATTTGGTCAGAAAATACATAAAAATTGTCCACATATTGGCTTTATTCCAAAGGGTTGAACATAGTTGAACCCTGGTGACCTTGCCTTTGTTGTATAATATTATTTCCTTATCATATTTTGTTTCAATACATTTTCATAATTAATTTTGAATACAAACAATTTTAGTGTTGAAACAGCAGTTTTATGCATGATATTTTCACAAAGGATATCTGTCGTTCATACTAAGGGAAGATCATTGAAAAGAATTAGTAAAGTTATTGATCTTTGATGATACGGGCAAGGTAAAAATGACGTACCTTTTGACCTTTTGAAGAAACTTCTTTGAGTTTAGATTTAGGTTGAGTAATATCTGGGAGAAGGCCAGCAATACCATTGTCCAGTATGATTGGTTTAGCAATACTTTTTTTTGGTGAACCTAAATAAAAGGCAGTAGAGTACAGAAACAAATAAGTCACCAAGACTGCACAAATACAGACAGTTTTTATAGCTTTTTTTAAAGATCCAATTAGCATGAGTGTATGCTTATGCACAAGGTATGTGTTAAATTACACAAATTTTGAGTACATCACTGACAGTGCCTGGTGGCAAACTAGTTCTCAAACTGAAAACTATATTTTAGCTGACAAAATAAATGTATAATAAATTGTCTCACCAAGTTTCACTGTCAACATCTTCATCTAAAAAAAAAAATTGATTGAGAGATCAACAATAATGGTCATATACCAGTACATGAATGACAGTGGTGAACATGTAATTTAAAGGACGGTAGTTGTCGTACCACGCATGTGCGAGATATATAGGTCTCATATAAATAAAGATGGCGAC